TGATGTCGCACAGATGCAATCGATTCTCCCACATAGCCGAACACTTCCTTGTTCCATGAACAAAGGTCACCCCTTAACCTATTTAATTTAGCAAAAAAACAATACATGAGTGTCCCCCCCATTTTACCTTGCCATGAATTAGAGATGATATTCAAAAAATCGTGATGCTACTCCCACATAGAGAAATATTTAAAAGGTTTTGGACCAACCGGACCCTGATCAGAAATAAAAACCAGTAAAGGACAGGGATATGAAGTACCTTTAAGGAGTTGCTGAACTCTGAACTTAGGAAAAGACAACCTAGTCAGTAGTTGTTAATGCACGATCCAGCCCCCTTCTGATGCATCTCCTACTCAACTAGCTATTGGACAAAGAAAACCAACCCCTGACTACTCCAAGGTCAACAAGAGCACAATCCGACATCACCTGAGCAAAGTCACCTGAATCTAGAGGTATAAAGCTACTACCCCCCATTCATTTTGAGGAATCCAATAGGATATTGAAATCCCCTAATAGCAGCAAGGGTAGATGAATAGTTGCTTCTATAGCCATCATGTGATCCCAAAGCTGAGCCCTTTGAGACGCAATTATATGCATAGACTGTTGAAATAACTGAAATATTCCCATTATATATTCGAGTGGCCTCAATTGTTATCATCCGATCATTAATATCGATCACTGATTGAGTAAATTAAAGGATTCCAAAATACTAGAATTCTGGGTCTACCATCAATTCATTTCCAATAAAGTTATTATAGAAACCCAGCATTTTAGACCACCTACGATTCAACTCCACAAGAAGTTTGGTTTCCAATAAAAAAAGAAGACCAAGATTTTAAAGCCCCAATATCCAAAATTTTAGCCCAGCCTTGATGGCCATTGACATTCCAAGCAATAACAAACATAAATATTTTAAAGATTCATGCGCTTTGTAAGGGTAGCCTTACCTTCTGTAGCCACCTTGATACGATGTACCTTTCAAGAAATCCCCTCCTTATCACCCATCGCTGATAATGAGGCCTTTTTTTGTGCTCTAGTTCGAGCTAGATTAAGTCCCTCATTAGGCATTTGGCCTGAAATCTTTTCCTGTGAAATACTAATCTTCTCATCTTCTCGCTCAGGCTTCGATTTGGCCTTTGACGCTTTTGTGGATAGAGGGTTCTTCGTGGAGACTATTACCATAGGCTGAAGCAAAGATGGATCAGCATCTTTGGTAGGAGAATCACCCATAACTCCAATATCGTCCGAAGGTGTCATCCTTGCATCCTCCCTTTCACCAGATACTTGAACATGCTCCTCACCCCTCCAGCTCCACAAGGTCATGTGAGGATCCAACATCCTTCTCCATATCATCATTAGAGATATCCACAGCCTCCACCAAGGCAACATCCTCCAATACCACCAAATCAGCCAAAGGCGAGACTTTGCATTTGTCTAAACACTGTTGCGACACATTTTCATCATTGCTACAAACTCCCCCCAGTGATATTTGTAGACCCTTCATACCATGCTGAGAACCAGAGTTTGCCACATTGACCAAAACACTTTCCTCCTGCTGTCCACCCAGATTGCCCTCAAGCTTGCAAGGCTGCATTGTGCTGGGCTCATTGGTAAACGCATTATCCATCTCATGCGTGTCAGATAGAATATCGAAAGCATTAGCAGTACTTTGTAGGATCAGACTCTTCTCATTAGCTGCCTTTTCTTTATGAGCCACTGTTTGCTTGTTAGAGGCAACAACCTGCTCGCTAACAGTCACATTAATGTTCTCTTGAACATTGGATCCAATTGGTAGACCATTGGGTTTGTTCTTCCTTTTATAAACTAACTGCTGCTTGCCTTTCACCCCTCCGACCCTCTTCTCACGAGGACCTCCATTTCCTTTGACACTACCTTTGTTAGGAGCCATTGGGGATAGACTTGAACAACACAATTCAGCCTTATGGCCTGCCCTTCGACACTTAGAGCATAACGAAGGAATGAACTCATACACGATATCTTGCCTATGCTCCTGGCCATCAATAACAAACCAAACTTCAGTTGAGCAAATAGTATCTAGGTCCATAGAAACACACACTCTTGGCTCAGCCCTCGATCTTAGCTTAGTTGGTTTGTCCATAAAGATAGGTTTGCCCACACAAGAGGTGATATGGAACAAAATTTCTGGCTCCCAATACACCATTGGCAGCCCAGGCAATTTGACTCAAATTGGCACAGTTTGACACGTACTCTAGTGGGTTGAACTGAAGGGTTCCAATCCTGAAAAACCAAACATTTTTTGTTAACAAACCATGGCCCCCCCCCATACGGGTCACCTCCATCTCCTCCTCAGAATGGAATCTAAACACCATAAATCCTCCATTAATGGAGAATACCTCAATGTCATGCTCAAGTCTCCACATTTTCTTCAACATTTCCTTCATGTAATTCCAATCGGGTCGACGGCCCAAGAAGTATACCAGAAGACTAATTCTTCCACCTACTAATGCATGAGTCCACCAGCTCCTTAGCAATATTAACATATTTTTTACCATTGACTGTTTCAGTAGGCAGCATCTCCATGTCGTTGAAGTAGAACACTCCAATTTGAACCCCCTTGGCTCCAAATAATAAGTCCGAAGACTTACCCGAACCCCAACAATTGATAGACTCAGCCAAGCGCCCCTCTTTGGTGTTTTTAGAGACCAAAGAAGGGAACTCCTCTCTTAGGCCTCCTCCACCAGGACAACCTGAGCTAGATCCAATTTCAAAATTACCTCCAAAGTCCGAAGACTTACTCGAACCCCAACAATTGATAGACTCAGCCAAGCGCCCCTCTTTGGTGTTTTTAGAGACCAAAGAAGGAAACTCCCTCTTATGCCTCCTCCACCAGGACAGCCTGAGCTAGATCCAATTTCAAAATTACCTCCAAAGGCAGGAGAAACAGCCTCTTTAGTCTTGCCAGAAAGGGAAAAGCGTCCTTTATCACCATTAGCTGGTTCTTTAAAAGGGCCCTGGATTGAGGGAGCGGTCTCATACTGTGAACCAGCCAGCAAGGGTGGAAAATCCTCCCCTACAAGACTCTTCATGACCCCATCAGTAGTAGCAGCAGCAAATACAAGCCAAGACCAGAGTGAATCTCTCTGCTCATGATAGCTTGAGCTATATTTTCATTTTGCTTGTTAAGAGTCAATCCTTGATCATCCTTCTCGATATTAAGAGTAGTTACAGAACTAGTGGATAACTGATCCCTCCGCTCATGTCCATCACCATTGCGAGCATTGCCAGGGCCACTGCGAGGGGTAAAGCCTCGAGCATTCTGAACAGAGCCATTATTAATCACCTTTTGGTTTTCTTTAAGATCCCTAGAAACACAATCCAATCTAGGATTGTGACCCAGACCCCCATCATGCATAGCACCATTGTTCAATATATTAGAAGATAATAGGTGATGATTAAGAGTCATACCAGAAGCCTTCTCCTGCAAAGAGAACAAGGAATTTCCAGATCTGTATTCACTGCCATAGCCAGATACAATGAAATAACCAGCAACGTTATGCCCTTTCACAGCTCCTTCTGAAGATCTAGACGTAGTTGTCGCAGCTGCATTGGTAGAACCAGGAGTACTAGATTGAACATGAAGATCTGTCACAGAGATCTGCGAAACATCAACTTTGCCTTTCATAACATCCACTGATTCAATCCCTGGAACACCAGCTCTATTGACACCAGATCCAACGTGAAGATCCAAGAGAGCCTGATCAGATCTAGTAGGATCTAATCGAGGTCCCTCCTATCCAGAAGTACACAATCTGCTAAGGACAGAAACAGATCCATTGCTGCCAGAAGTACACAGATCTTTTGAAAAGTCCATCTCTGTCACCAGATCCAAAACTGATGGGCTCAAAGACAAGGGCATCCCTCTTGTTAATAACATGAACACCACTAATAGCAACACGAGAAACAACCCTTCCACGCACATCAGATCCAGGAAGACCAGACCCGGTCATGGAACCAGCACTGGCACCGCCATTGTTAGAAACGAAACTTCCAACACAAAACCGAAAAAGAAGATACCCTGGATCAGGATGTTTCCCCTCCATAGGAAAAGAGGTGCCACAAACAAATGAAACCATAGGATCACCGGTCATCACCAGAGAGGCACCACGCCACCATGTTTAGGTTCACATGAGATGGCTCTGGTCACGCGGGAGGGCTCTGGTCACGCGAGGTGGTTCTTGTTGGGGATCATCATTTGTACAATGCATGTTTTAGGGATTGAGATATCTAAGTGTTAGGAAACCCGATCCCAACCTTTTGCAAACGGCGATCTTGAGCTTTTGGCATCTCAATCTCAACCGAGTATCTTGTTCTTAACCTTAAAGAGTATGTATAGCCTAGGACTATATATGCTGTAAAGTAGAGATCTCTATAGTTATACCCAGCAAGTGATGCAACAATATTAAGTAGTTGCATTGTTAGTTAGCTATAAATAAAAAATAAAATAAAAATCAAATTTGGTTATCTTTGTCTTTAAGCTAGGGATCGAGATCCTTAATAGTAGGCACATAGATCCTCAATAGTGGGGATCAAGATCCCTTGAAGATCCCTATCCCAGAGCGCTGAAGTGAAATTCTAGAGCGGGATCGCCACCTACTTTGAGAGATCCTGGCAACTATGCATGGGACAAATGGATTATCTTTGTTCTTAAAACATTTTTGCTTAAATTTCAAATGCTAAAGCTGATGCCTTACACAGTTTATCCACTGCTTGAGGTATCCACGTATGATTTATTTACAAACTAATTCTTTCAATTTTTTATTAATAACGAATTTGCTAGAAAGAACGATAAATTTCACGCATAGTAAATAACGGAAACCACCTCAAAGCACCCCCAGCATTCCACATGAACAAGCTCAAAATAACTATGATGTCGATTGCTTCATAAACATGAAAGGAAATGTTCAAGTCTATATGTACAAGGATTCAATTAGAGCATGAACACATATTAGAAATCTCACCTTCATGTTTTCCAAATTAGGCTGCTGAGTGCTCATTGCATCCAAAAGTGAACAATTTATCATGTCCTCAGTAAAATAAATAACCTGAGAGAAAAGAAACATCAAAGATTTACGAACTAGGAAATTGGAAAAGACAAAGTAACACATTAAGAGCACATAGTATCATTGTCGTCTCAATCATTGAGATGGTGTTACTGTACCTGATGGAAGGGGAGCATTTACATGCATGGAAGCAAATCAATGCATAAAATTATGGCAGTTCTAGAATTAATGCATAATGATAATTATAACCATCCCATATATCTTGCCCCTCGAACCATTTTTGTCGAAATTTGAGGTTTTAAACAAGAAAAAGACAGGTTAAATCATTTATAACTTGGTATGGGAATGGCTTTTGCGGTGCTCTACATCAGTTGTCTGCCATTACAAGACACAGAAGCTACATATAACTAATGGACCCATGCGGCTGATGAACTTTTTATAGTTGATATTTTAAGTACATGTACCATGCATATCAACGAATAGTGTAAGTTCTTTGTGGCATTAGCAAATAAATCTTAAGACTACAGAAGATTTCCCTAAAGCCTTTGAGAAGCCCTCTGATGTCATGTAGAGCAATGAGAGGCCCAAATGAGTACAGCCCTTTGGATGTACTGTTTTAACCAGAGTCGTAGGAAGCACAAGCAGGAGCGAGAGTAGAAGAATTGTCAATTACTAAAACCTCCCTAGGTGGGAGCCTAGTCCATAGAATTAACTAATTAATAAATAAAAAATCAGAATTATATAAGAAATTTTATTAAAAATTAAAGAAATCCAATAATCCCAAAAAATCCAGTAAAAAATGGGCTAAGAAATTGGCAATATAAAAAAATTAAATAATTATTAACTAAATTTTATTTCGTTAAGAAATAATATTTATATATTCCTTTGAGTTTGTATTTTACATAACAATAATTGAACAAGGTACAACAAAAAGATATTATGCTGAGGAATGTTGAGATTACTAATAATGATACAAGGAAGCTGAGTTTTATTGATAAAATTTGCTTTATTTACCTGTCACACTTTGCAACCTCCAAGGCATATCAAGCTGCTTTATTTAAATTTTACACTTTACAACATCCAAAGCATTAGAGAGAGAGTATGATCACATTTAAGATCTAAATGGATCATTTTATTGGCCTCTTGTTACCCCTTAGAGCCACTAGGTGGATCCCTAAAAAGGGATCGAGATCCCCTAATTTAAGAAATGTGATCCTTTGGAGATCCCCATCCTGGAGTGTTGAAGTGAGATCCTGGAGGAAGACCAATATCTAGGTTGGGAGATCCAAATAACTGTGCCTTTGAGGTCACAAAATGCAAGCAACTACAAGTCAATTCTAAACAGTCGTTGAGCATTCACATTGGCTTCTGGGGCACATGGTTACATGCAAATGTTAGAACCCCGTGATTCCCCTTCACCTCACTTCTTTTTTTCTGTCTTTCTCTAATCTCATTTCTTTGTATCAATCTCTCTCTCTCTCTCTCTCTCTCTCTCTCTCTCTCTCT